AAACCCAGCTGTTGTGGTCACTTGCCGGCTTTCCAGTCACCACAGCCAGGATATGCCTCCATCTTCTGGGCAAATGGTGGCTTGCTCATATGTTGTCCCATTTGTCAGGCTTCACCTTTGGCTTGTCCAGTCTTGGTTATCATTGATGTATCGTCCGAGATGTGACAGCATTTACATGGTGAGCACTGTTTCCTGTCATGTGATTCATGCCCTCTGATGGTGGCTGGACCCCAAGTTGGTAATGGTTGGGGTTCTTTTTCATGCTTCACAAATCATGGTGTCTCTGGTCACAGACTTGTCTGCTTTGGGCTGGGGGCTTGCCTTGCGGACCTCACTATTCAGGGAATGTGGACAGAGGCAGAGTTATCTCTCCACATCAGTGTCTGCGAGCTCTGGACCAGCCACCTCACGTCTCTTGCATTTCTACCCCATGTTCAGGGGCAGTGCACGGCAGCCACATCAGACAAAATGATTGCCATGTACTATATCAAGGAATGATGGAACCAACCCCAGGGATACCCCAAGCTCTTTCCCCAAAAGAGCTTGAAAAAAAGAAAATAGAAAAACAAGCTGCAGTCTTTGGTAGTTGACCCCTCAGTCAGGCATGCAGACACACACAGACAGACCTTTCAGGACACAAAAATCAACCAATACCGGTTAATTAGAAAAAGAAACAATAATTTATTATCAGAACCAAACTACAGTTGCAAGCATAGTAAAGTGGCTGTATGGGAAGAGCCACCAATTGATCTAGATACTTAGGGGAAGCCCCGGGGCTAAAAGCTTAATTACAAAAGAAAGAAAATACAATTAACACCTCAGACATTATTTCTGAATTCCCAAACCAGGAAAACAACAAATCCTGACGAACTATCTAAACTTTTCCCTACTTTTGCACATTGTAAGAAGTCCGTTTTTGGAGAGAGAAGTGTCTCTCAGCTCCCTCAGTCTTGGAAGAAACTGCTCTGCCTCTCAAATCCAGAAGAGAGAGAGAAAAAAGCCTCTCTTCCCTTTTGAAATTCCTACCTGGATTGTTATTGGCTGACCTGGCTAGGTACAGGAGGCATTGGTGAACCCCTTAGTCGCCAGGTGCTGGACATCACTCCTGATTATGACATTTTTCATATTTGGTGTCTGCAACATAACCTGGCCCCCTTTTCTGCCTCTATTCCCCAAAGTGCTGGAGTATCTGGTGTTCCTAAAGCAACAAGGCTTGGCGACTTCATTGCTGAAAGATGGTGTCCATCTCTCCTTTCCAGAAGCCTCTGTCTTCACAAGCTCTTTGATGGGGTGCTTTGTCAAGGGTATGGGCAGACTCCATCATCTGACCCAGCATCCTGTCCTTACATGGGATCTCATCCTGGTACTTATGGTATTCATGGGTCCCCTCCTCCCTTTGAGTCTTTGGCTGTCTTCTTTACCTTTTGTGGAAGGTGGCCTTTCTGGTTGCCATCATCTCTGCTTGGTGGTTGTTGGAGTGCTGCTCTCTGACATCAGAACCCCTATATGTAGCTTTCCATACAGACAAAGTCCAACTTCATCCTCACCCAGCTTTTCTTCTGAAAGTGTTCTCAAGCTTCCATTTTCCTCCATGTTTTATCCTAAGCCCCACCAACATTTACTGGAACAAAGAGTGCACTCCTTTAATGTCAGCCGGGTGCTTGCCTTCTACGTTGACCGGACTTTCTCAAGTCTTCACAGTTGTCTGTAGCCATGGCAGATGACATGAAGGAGCTGCCAGTCTTGTTGGAGCACATTTTTTTCTGAATTATGGCATGTATCTGCACATGCTTAATTTTTCTAAGGTTCCCACCCACTGCTTCTCACAGCATGTAGGCATAGGTCTCCCTTGACTGCTTTCCTGGCTCATATACCTCTTTAGGAGATCTGTAGAGCAGCAACGTGGTTTTCAGTGAATATTGTCATGTTGCATTATGCCATTGCGCAATAGTCCAAACAGGACACAACCTTTGGTACCATGGTACTCAAGGCAGCAACTCATTGATTCCAACCTCTCCTCTTGGGTAAGGCTTGTGAATCACCTAATTGGAGTTGATATGAACAGGTACTCAAAGAAGAAAAAATGGTTACTCACCTTTGTAACCATTGTCCTTCAGGATGTTGCTCATATCTATTCTCCATGCCCATCCTCCTTCCTCTCTGTTGGAGTAGCCAGCAAGAAGGAACTGAGGGGCAATTTGGTCAGCAGGGTCAATGCACTGGCACCACTCGAGGGGGCTCCACAGCTAACCTAATGGGTAGCAGCTAGGGAAAAACTTTCCAACAGCTGTGTATGTGGTGCGTGCACACACCTAATTGGAATAGATAAAAGCAATTTGTATCAAAGAACAACAGTTACGAAGGTAACTAACTGTTTTTTCTCAGTAGTGGCCGATGACAGAACAAGGAGCAATGGTTTCAAGTTGCAGTGGGGGAAATCTAGGTTGGATATTAAAAAAAACTATTTCCCTATGAGGGTGGTGAAGCACTGGAATGGGTTGCTTTGGGAGATGGTGGAATCCCCATCCCTAGAGCTTTTTAAGGCTCAGCTTGACAAAGCCCGGGCTGGAATGATTTAGTTGGGGTTGGTCCTGCTTGGAGCAGGGGGTTGGACTGAATGTCCATCTGAAATCTTTTCCACCCCTTTGATTTGATTGTACGAAGCATCCACCTGAGGCTCTGGCACACTGCAGCGAGTTGCCCAGGGAGCGTAATAGTGTGGAATCAGGAGGAGTCAGAAGAGCTGCCGGAAGCTTTGTTCTGTTCTAGCTGGACTTTGGCTGAAGTAGGCTATGGAGTGGGTCCATACTGTCTGGCCTAGCCTGAATGATGTGGGGTGTCATTCTATACACATATTGTGCATTAATCAAAATGTTGAATTAAGATATAGCATCACAGGAGATAGAAACAGATGCTGTGATGCAGGGAATCCTACAGGATGGGAGACAATCCTCACAGGAGGGGAGGTGGGATGCAGTTTCCCCTCAAAGGAGTTCTTGTGGAAAATGGGATAGAAGCAATTATAATCTACAGCAGTGCCAGGAATGTTGTAAGCTGTTGATGCTTCATTTTGGTGGAGGTAATGCTGACCCAAGCCTTTGGCTGGCGCCACATCTACTTGTGATATGAAGAGGTGGATTAAGTCTGAAGCACCCTAATACCACTTCTTCTGATTGTTAGGAGAATGAGCAGGAACGGCACCGTGCAGAACTAGAAGAGCTGTTGGAGCACTCAGCCCAAGAGAAAGCAGAGGCAGAAGGTGCTTATGAGAAAAAGATGTTGGAGCTGAGGCAGGAGGTAGCTACTCTGCAATCTAAGGAAGAAGAGGAGAGAACAAGGGCTGAAAATGCCCAGCAAGAGGTAAAGCGTTTGGGAGGGAAACTTGTACATTTAAACAGCAGACATCTTTTGTCTCATGACTGGTGAAGCTTCCAGTTACACTGGTGTCTAGGAAAAAGTAAAAGGCCTATTGAAGATGATAAAATACCTTGTCTTTTAATAGGAATGCAGGATTAATAAATGAGAGAGTCCATTGCCCACAAAAGTCTGTGACCTAACTCTGATAGCGATGGCTGTTTGATACTGCAAAGAAGCTGAAATGTCTACATCTGGGTAATTGTGCAGTGCAGAGTAGGGCAGTGGTCTCCAACCTTTTTACACCCAAGATCACTTTTTAAATGACAGACCAAGCCAAGATCTACCGCCCCGCCCCTTCCTTGAAGCCCCACCCTCTCTATTCTCCTCCTCTCCATCACTTGCTATCCCCAATCCTTATACTGCTACTTTAAAAAAATTCCCACCATTCCTGCAGCTACTCACCTGTGCTGTTTATCGGTGAGTAGCTGCTCCTCAAATGAGGAAATCTAATATAAATGTACTGCGCAGGCACGCAGTTCAGAGAGGGCTCAAGAGCTACTCTTAGAGCCTCCAAGATCTACCGGTAGATCGCGATCTACTGGTTGGTGACCACGGGAGTAGGGTATGGGGGAAATCTTTTCTGAAATGCTTATGTCCAAAGGAGCACGTGTGAGTGCCTTTACATTTATCTTTGCTAAATGCGATAATAATAAATGAGGGGTTTGTATTTCACTTACCTTTATTCTGTTTTAGGGTGAAGACTCCTGGCTTTGAGCTGTCTGATGAGAAAGGGTTAGCTCAGGTGTATGGGGAGAGGAGTGTCAACGGTTTTTGTATCTTCACTGTACAAAAGGAACCTGATATTAGATGACCCATTGTAACATGAAGCAATTAATTCACCAGGCTTTTAACTGCTGTGTGTTTATGAGAAAAAGACAGCAGAGCTGTCACCATCTCCTCTCATGTTCTTCTCATCACCAGTGATGGTTGTTGGAATCATTCCAGACTTCTTGATTTAAGAGCTTTTCTCATTTGCATACAGTTATGAATAGTAATTGTTAGTGTTGGATAGTTAGTTTATATATAAATTAGTGATATAGACTCATAGACTTTAAGGTCAGAAGGGACCATTATAATCTAGTCTGACCCCCTACACAATGAAGGCCATAGAATCTCACCCATCCTCTCCTAGAATAATCCTCTCACCTATATCTCAGATATTGAAGTCCTCAAATGGTTTAAGAACCCCAAGATGCAGAGACTCCTCCAGCAAGTGATCCATGCCCCATGCTACAGAGGAAGGCGAAAAACCTCCAGGGCCTCTGCCAATCTACCCTGGAGAAAAATTCCTGCCCGACACCAAATATGGCGATCAGCTGAAGCCTGGTATGTTTCATAGAATCAGAGAATACCGGAACTGGAAGGAATCTTGAGAGGTCATCAAGTCCAGTCCCTTGCCCTCATGGCAGGGCTAAGCATTTCTGATTTGACATCATTTTTGGACCATTTTTTCTCTTTCAGTACTGTTATCAGAAGGTTATGTCTCCATTTTCAGCATCAGTACCAAGGAGAGACCCTGGTGCTTCCACTAAGCACATATCAAGAGAAAGCTGCCTCAGAGGCATCACCTCCTAAGAAGGGTCATTGCCTCTGGACCCTGTGCCAGGTCCATCAAGTCTGTCCCAAGAGACATTTAAGGAGTCAATAAATAATGCCTGTCCCATCCATTCCAGAGGCATGTATTACCATGAGAGACTTGCTTAGCTTCTTGGTACCAGTTTCACCAACATTGACTCTAGGAACTGTGGAAGAGTATTTGAGTGATGAAGCCTAATAGTCCTGATCTCAGTCTGACAGGACAGTGAGGTTCTGTATAGACTTCAGATCAGTCAATGCTATCTCTTGCTTTGATTCCTATCCAGTACCAAGGGTGGATGACTTGCTGGAATGGCTGGAAAATGCAAAGTTTATACCAACTCTCAGCTAAACTAAGGAGTACTGGCAGATACCCAGCCCTCAGCATCCTACAAGAAGAAAGCCTTCCCACTGCAATCTGGCTTGTATCACTTGGTCACCATGCCTTTTGACTTGCATGGAGCCACAGCTATATACCAGCAGTTAATTACACAACTCTTACAACTCCATTGGAAATACTTAGTTGTGCACATTGATGATATTGCAGTCTTCAGTCCAGTTGCAAGGAGTACACACAAACATCTCATCACAGTGCATCAAACCTTGAGAGAAGTTGGACTGCTAAGGGCCATCTCAGATGACAGGAGGTAACTTACTTGGGATACAGTTGCAGCGCCCCTCCTCAACCTGACAAAGAATTGTAAGGAGATGCAAAATCCAGTGGTTGTAGGACTCTGAGAGCCTTCCAGAATCTGAAGGCATGATTAACCCAACAGCCAGTCCTATATAAGCCATAATTTTCAAAACCATTCATTGTACAGATTGATGCTTCAGAAGTGAGCCTAGAGGCTGTACTGTTGAAGGAGCAAAATGGGGAAGAACACCCTGTCTTCTATGAGCCAGAAATTTAAAAAGGACAAATGCAAAGTACTCCATGTAGGAAGGAACCACCAGTTTCATGCATACAGATTGGGAAGTGATGTTCTAGGAAGGAGTATTGCAGAAAGGGATCTAGAGGTCATAGTGGACCACAAGATAAATATGAGTCAACAGTGTGACGCTGTTGCAAAAGAAGCAAACCTGATTCTGGGATGGATTAACAGGAGTGTTGTGAGCAAGACATGAGAAGTCATTCTTTTGCTCTACGCTGCACTGATTAGCCCTCAGTTGAAGTATGTGTCCAGTTCTGGGCACCACATTCCAAGAAAGATGTGGAAAAATTAGAGAAGATGCAGACAAGAGCAACAGAAATGATTAAAGGCCTAGAGAACATGACCTATGAGGGAAGACTGAAAGAATTGGGTTTGTTTAGTTTAGAAAAGAAGATTGAGAGGGGACATGATAGCAGTTTTTAAGTATCTAAAAGGGTGTTACAAGGAGAAGGGAGAAAAATTGTTCTCCTTAGCCTCTAAGGATAGGAGAAGAAGCAATGGTCTTAAATTGTAGCAAGGGAGGTTTAGTTTAGACATTAGGAAAAACTTCCTAACTGTCAGGGTGGTTAAACACTGGAGTAAATTGGCTAGGAAGGTTGTGGAATCTCCATCACTGGAGATATTTAAGAGCAGGTTGGATAGACGTCTATCAGGGATGATCTAGATGGTGCTTGGTCCTGCTGTGAGGGAAGGGGACTAGATTTGAGGTCCCTTCATGTTCTATCATTCTATGATTCTATCCCAGCCTGGGCTTTGTCAAACCAGGCCATAAAAACCTCTAAGGATGGAGATTCCATCACCTCCCTTGGTAACCAATTCCAGTTTTTCACCACCTTACTAGTGAAATAGTTTTTCCTAATATCCACCCTAAATCACCCCCACTGCAACTTGAGACCATTGCTGCTTGTTCTGTTATCTACCACCACTGAGAACATCCTAGCTCCATTCTCTTTGGGACCCCCCTTTAGGTAGTTGAAGGCTGCTATTAAATCCCCCCTCACTCTTCTGCAGACTAAATAAGCTCAGTTCCATCAGCCTCTGCTCACAAGTCATGTGTCCCAGCCCCCAATCATTTTCACTGCCCTCTGCTGGATTCTTTCCAATTTATTCACATGGTTTCTGTATTGGGGTGCCCAAAACTGGACGCAGTACCACAGATATGGCCTCACCTGTGCTAAATAGAGGGGAATTATCACTTCCCTCTATCTGTAGGCAATCCTACTAATGAAGCCCAGTATTATTCTGTTAGCCGTCTTGATTCATCCAGCTTCTTTTCCACTGTAATACCCAGGTCCCATTTTAGACAACTGCTGCTTAGTCAGTGGGTCCCCAGCCTATAGCAGTGCTTTGGTGTCTTCTGTCCTACGTGCAGGACTCTGCATTTCTCCTTGTTGAAACTCATCAGATTTCAGTTCTCCCAATCCTTCAGTTTCTCTAGGTCACTCTGGACCCTATCCCTACTCTCCAGCATATGTATCTCTCCCCCCAGCTTAGTATCATCTGCAAATTTGTTGAGTGTGCAAGCCAACCCATCATCCAGATCCTTACTTAAGATGTTGAAAAAAACAGCCGCAGGACCAATCTGCTTGATATTTGCTGCCAACTAGACAGTGAACTGTTGACTCCTACCTGTTAAGCAAGACGATGTAGCCAGCTTTCTATCCACCTTATAGTCTATTAATAGAAGCCATATTTCTTGAATTTGCCAGCCAGAATACTGTTGGAGGACATATCAAAAGCTTTGCTAAAGTCAAGGCATATCACATCCACTGCTTTTCCCATTTCCACACAGTCATCTCAACATAGAATTGAGATTAGTTTGGTCAGGTCTGACTTGCCTTTGGTGAATCTGTGTTGACTGTTCCCAATCATCTTCCTTTCTTTTAAGTGTTTCAAAATGGATTCCTTGATGATCTAGTCCATGATTTTTCCAGGGATTCGGGTGAGGCTGACCAGTCTGTACTTCGTGGATTCTCCTTTTTCCCGTTTTTAAAGATGGACACTACATTTGGCTTTTTCTAGTTGTTGGGGTACCACCCAAGTTGCCACAGAATTTCAAAGATAATAGTCATTGGCTCTGCAATCACATGCATTAGATCTGGCCCCATGGTTTTGTGCATGTACGGCTATTCTAAATAGTCCTTAACCTGTTCTTTTACCATGGAGGGCTGCCCACCGTCTCCCCATAGTGTGCTGCCTGGTGCAGTAGTCTGGGAGTTGACCTTGTCTGTGAAGACTAAGGCAAAAAAAGCATCGATTACTTCAGCTTTTTCCACATCATTTGTTGCTCGGTTGCCTTCTCCATTCAGTAAGGATTCCACACTTTGCCTGACCACCTTCTTGTTGCTAACATATACCTGTAGAAACCCTTCTTTTCATCCTTTACATCCTTTACTAGCTGCCACTCCAGATGCACTTTGGCATTCCTAATTACAA